CAATACTCTAAACTGTGAAAATGAAACCAAGTTTAATATTCTATCTCTTATTATCACACATATTATATTATTATATCATTCCATTAATATGAGAGCAGCACAGAGAGGAAACTATCCAGCTGAAACAGGAGTCCAGAAAGGCTATTTTAGTGTACTGATGATTTTGCAATATAAGTGCCACCTAGTGGCCAATTTGCCCCAATTTTGCACACAGCCTCAGTGGGGCAATTACTGGACCAAATTTCATGTTAATCGCAGAAACCTATGCAGAGATATGACATCACATCCTGTTTGGGTGCTCTGTAAAGGAAGTTGTTCCTCTGTGATATTTTTCGACGGATCACAATTCTTGTGCAACTTTTCATCAGAACCACCTGTAGAGTCTATGAGAAGTTTCGTGCAGATTTAGGTGATTTTGCAAAAAAAGTGCCGCCTAGAGGCCACATGAGGAAGTACTGGGCAGTTTTTTTATTTTACAACTGTAAAATTTAAAGTTAAATCAACCCTCTTAAATTAATTTCTCTTAACCCAAGTAGATTAAGTTGGACCAACAGATTTGCTTTGTTCCGACGAAAGAAAGCCTTTTGATTACATGGAAATACTTTATAGCACAGAGACAGTTCTGGTTAAAGATAAAAATGACCTTCTGATTGCTTCTGACAAGGGACTTGTCTCTGTGCTTGTATTATTAGATCTTAATGCTGCATTTGACACCATTGACCATGATATTCTTTTACAGAGACTCGAGCATCAAATTGGCATTAAAGGAACCGCACTAAGCTGGTTTAAGTCATATTTATCAGATCGCTCGCAGTTTGTACATGTTAACGATGAATCTTCAATAAATACTACAGTTAGTCATGGAGTTCCACAAGGTTCTGTACTTGGACCAATACTATTTACTCTATATATGCTCCCGTTAGGCAACATTATTAGGAATCACTCCATTAACTTTCACTGTTATGCAGATGATACGCAGTTATATCTATCGATCAAGCCCGATGAAATTAATCAATTATCTAAATTACAAACATGTCTTAAGGACATAAAATCCTGGATGAGCTGCAATTTTCTGATGTTAAACTCAGAAAAAAACGAAATTCTTGTTCTTGGCCCCAAAAACCTTAGAGACTCACTGTCTAAAGATATAGTTACTCTAGATGGCATTACCTTGGCCTCTAGCACCACTGTCAGGAATCTTGGAGTTATCTTTGATCAGGATTTGTCATTTAACTCCCACATAAAGCAGACCTCCAGGACTGCCTTCTTTCATTTACGTAATATTACAAAAATTAGACACATCCTATCACAAACAGATGCAGAAAAACTAATCCATGCATTTGCTACTTCAAGGCTGGATTACTGCAACTCTTTATTATCAGGTTGCCCCAATAACTCCATTAAAACGCACCAATGAATTCAGAACGCTGCAGCACGAGTACTGACAGGAACTAGAAAAAGAGATCACATCTCTCCTGTACTAGCTTCTCTGCATTGGCTCCCTGTAAAATGTAGAATAGAATTTAAAATCCTCCTCCTCACCTATAAAGCTCTTCATGGTCAGGCCCCTTCATATCTTAAAGAGCTCATAGTACCCTATTACCCCACTAGAACACTACGTTCTCTGAATGCTGGGCTACTTGTGGTTCCTATAGTCTCTAAAAGTAGAACAGGAGCCAATCTCCTCTCCTATGGAACCAGCTTCCAGTTGTAGTTCGGGAGGCAGACACCCTCTCCACATTCAAGAGTAGGCTTAAGACGTTCCTCTTTGATAAAGCTTATAGTTAGGGCTGGATCAGGTGAGTCCTGAACCATCCCTTAGTTATGCTGCTATAGGCATAGACTATCGGGGGATTTCCCATGGTGCACTGAGCTCCTCTCTTCCTCTCTCTTTCTGCACTCATTCATGTCCCATTAATGCATGTTACTAACTTCACTTCTTCACTGGAGTTCTTGTGCTTTCTCATCTCACAGGTTCTTATCGATCCTGGTGGAGCCTCCTGCCATGGTCCTGCTAGATTGCCATTGCTGTTGTTGCTGTGCACCTGTCTGTCTGTCTGTCTGTCTGTCTGTCTGTCTCTCTCTCTCTCTCTCTCTCTCTCTCTCTCTCTCACCCCAACTGGTCGAGGCAGAGGACCACCCACCTAGAGCCGAAGGATCTGTCCTAGGTTTCTGCCTTTTAACAGGCAGTTTTTCCTTGCCCTTGTTGCCAAGTGCTTGCTCATGGTGGTACTGTTGGGTCTCTGTAAATAATGTTATAAAGAGTTTGGTCTAGACCTGCTCTATTTGAAAAGTGTCCTGAGATAGCTTCTGTTATGAATTGGCGCTATACAAATAAAATTGAATCGAATTCCCTCTCTGGGAACCACCTTATTGCGGTGGAGAGGTTTGGGTGCTTCTATTAACCTGAGAGCTGTGTTGTCGGGAGAAACATGCTCCTGGTAGGGTCTCCCAAGGCAAAGTGGTCTCAGGTGAGGGGCCAGACTAAGAATGGTTCACAGACCACTATGGAAAAGCATGGAAGATGCAAAGAGACCCGGCCCGGAGGATGCCTGGGACCCCCGTCTGGAGCCAGGCGTGGAAGGAGGGCCCGAAAGAGAGCGGCTGGTGGCCAGGCTTGCCACGGAGCCCGGCCGAGAGGGTCGCCTCCCTACGCCTACGATCTGTGGGGGGTGGAACTATGACTGTTGTTTGTGCTTATGCACCAAACAGCAGTGCAGAATATTCGGCTTTCTTAGGGACCCTGAATGAAGTCCTGTATAGGGCTCCTCCGGCCGCATGTATTGGACACTCGGGTAAAGAGAGGGGTGGAGCTGTCAACTGAGTTGGGTTAGGTGGCGGGGGACGCCACTGGACAGACCTGGTAAACCCAAACGTGTAGTATGGGTGAACTGGGAACGTCTGGAGGAGGTCCCTGTCCGAGAGACCTTCAACTCCCACCTCCGGCGGAGCTCCTCCTACATTCCTGTGGAGGCGGGGGACACCGAACCAGAGTGGTTGATGTTCAAAGCTTCTATTGCTGAAGCTGCGGCTGTGAGCTGTGGTCTTAAGGTCTTGGATGCCTCAAGGGGCGGATACCCTCGAACACAGTGGTGGACACCGGTGGTCAGGGAAGCCGTCCGACTGAAGAAGGAGGCCTTCCAGGATATGTTATCCCCGGGGACTCCTGAGGCAGTTGCAGGGTACAGGCAGGCCCGAAGGACTGCAGCCGCAGCTGTGAGGGAAGCAAAACAGCGGGTGTGGGAGGAGTTCGGATAAGTCATGGAGAAGGACTTTCAGACGGCACCCAGGCGCTTCTGGAAAACCATCTGACACCTCAGGAGGGGGAAGCGGGGAACCATTCAAGCTGTGTACAGCGGGGATGGGACACTGCTGACCTCAACTGAGGAGGTAATTGGGCGGTGGAAGGAACACTTTGGGGAATTCCTGAACCCAACTAGACCAACAAACCCGCCCTCTGTGATAGACCTCTGACTGAAGAAGAACAGTGTGGGTTTCGTCCTGGTCGTGGAACAACAGACCAACTCTTTACTCTCTCAGGTGTCCTGGAAGGGGCCTGGGAGTATGCCCATCCGGTCTACATGTGCTTTGTGGATTTGGAGAAGGCATATGACCGGGTTCCCCAGGATATCCTGTGGGAAGTGCTGCGGGAGTATGGGGTGAGGGGGCCACTTCTCTGGGCCATCCAAGCCCTGTATTTCCAAAGCGAGAGTTGTGTCCGGATTCTTGGTCGTAAGTCGGACTCGTTTCCAGTGGGTGTTGGCCTCAGCCAGTGCTGCACTTTGTCACCAATCCTGTTTGTGACTTTCATGGACAGGATATCGAGGCGTAGTCGTGGGGGGGAGGGGTTGCAGTTTGGTGAGCCTGTGACCTTCAGCACTCACTGGATCGGAGTGTCAAGCGGCTGGGATGAGGAGCAGCACCTCTAAATCGGAGGCCATGGTTCTCAGCAGGAAACCGGTGGATTGTCTACTCCGGGTAGAGAGTGAGTCCTTACCCCAAGTGAAGGAGTTCAAGTACCTCGGGGTTTTGTTCACAAGTGAGGGTAGAATGGAGCAGGAGATTGGCCGGAGAATCGGGGCAGCAGGGGTGGTATTGCGGTCCCTGTATCGCACTGTTGTCACGAAAAGAGAGTTGAGCCGAAAGGCAAAACTCTTGATCTACCGGTCGATCTTTGTTCCTACCCTCACCTATGGTCATGAGAGATGGGTCGTGACCAAAAGAACGAGATCCCAGGTACAAGCGACCGAAATGGGTTTCCTCAGGAGGGTGGCCGGCGTCTCCCTTAGGGATAGGGTGAGAAGCTCGGACATCCGCGAGGGACTCAGAGTAGAGCCGCTTTTCCTCTGCATTGAAAGGAGCCAGCTTAGATGGTTCAGGCATCTGATGAGGATGCCTCCAGGGCGCCTCCCGAGGGAGGTGTTCCTGGCACGTCCAGCTGGGAGGAGGCCACGGGGCAGACTGAGGACCAGGTGGAGAGATTATATCTCAACACTGGCCTGGGAACGCCTCAGGATCCCTCAGTCAGAGTTGGCCGATGTGGCCAGGGAAAGGGAAGTTTGAGGTCCTCTGCTGAACTTGCTACCCCCGCGTCCTGACCCCGGATAAGCGGATGAAGATGAATGAATGAATGAATGAATGAATGAATTGAACTGAACTTTACATGATTTCATTCATTCGAAGAGTTTATATTTTGTCAAAGTCAAACTTTGTGCAGATTAATAAACTGACTCATATGACTTATATACATGTACACATTTGAAACTAAATTAAAACACTGAGATTGTCCTCTCTCTGTATATTATTATTATTATCATTTTCATCTCCACATCACCTCCTCCTCTTCCTCCTCCTCCTCCTCCTCCTCCTCTTGCTCCTGTTGGATGTTTCCTCCTCCAGGTTTACTAGAACAACTGAACTTGTGGGATGTACTGTGGTATTTCCGACAGACGAGCGCAGTTTCCAGCAGCGAGGACTCCTTCGTTCTGAAACCCCCACAACAATTGAATAGAAGGAAGCGCTGCTCGCTGACTCTTTCCTCCCCACAAACACTCACTTCCCTTCAGCTCTTCTGTTCTGCTCATCTGAAGCTGGAGGACGCACAGAAACATGGACGCCTCGATTCTGCTCCTTTTTACACTTGTGAGATTCAGTTGTGTGTGTAAGTACTGCAGTTTGTCCCAGATAAGTTTTTTCTCAGTGTGTTCTCACTACAAACGTCCTCAAAAAAGTCTTTTAATTCAGATTCTGTCATTAGATTACAGAGCAAATATTGGAAATGCTAACTGGGTTCAGATACAGGAAACTACAGTTTACATCAGGAGAACCTACAACTAAGTTAAAGTACTTTTTAATTACCCAGTCAGTCATAGAAGGAGTATTGAGATCCTTTACTTAAGTAAAAGTACAAATAAAAGTCCTTAAAAAGTAGATATAGCATTTTACTATTATATCTGATGTTTTTCTATCAATATTACTGCTGCATTTATGTGTATTTTACTGCTGTAGATGTTATAGTACTTTATATACTGTTGGTAGTTTAACGTATATTCTATAAGATTATCATGTGTAAGAAGTAAAAGCATAAAATTGAAATGTATATTAAATTTGTACTTAAACGCAGTCCTGGAGTAAATGTAGGCTGACTATAGACTGTACATACTGAATAATACAAACTGGGTATCGGTACACCATTAAAAACATCAAAACTATATTAATAATAAATAAACAATAAAACCACATTTAATATTTGAATTTCTCTTAAAAATGTTTTGTTGTAAATATAGAATAATTCTATTGCTAAATATTTTTACTCCATTGTTCCTTCCTTACAGTACCAGCAATATAATATAATATAATATAATAAAGTAGCCCACGAACTGTGCAGAATGTTATATTTATTGATGCATTCATGTGTAAATGTGTAAATAATTTCACTTCACTGTTACAAAAAACTACACAGCACTAAACAAACAATATAAACAAAGATGGAGAAATAAAATCAACAAGACAGAAATAAAAAATATTTCTACAGTAACCAATAAAAATTAGTTTCACGACATGAGTAAATGTATTTGGTTGTAAAAAAAAAAGATGATTTAGGTCTGAATAAGTGACTGAATGATAAACAGGTTAAATAACGTCAGAAAGAAATGATAAAGAGTGTGGAGAGTTTATATAACAACAGCTTTATTACTAATTATCACTTATTAAAGGCTGATGGGTTCTCAATAATAATAAAATGGGAAGAGCACTGTGTGTGATAATGTTTGTCTGTGTACAGCAGACGAGCAGCATTAACATCAAACACTGATTTATTTTGTTATATGTTGTTAAACGTTGTTAACTGTTGTTGACTGTTAATTGTTGTTAAACCTTGTTAAACCTTGTTAAACCTTGTTAAACTTTGGTAAATGTTGGTAAATGTTGTTAAATGTTAAAAGTTGATAAATGTTGTTAAATGTTGTTAAAGCGTTCACAATCAGGTGGAAAGAGTTTGATTTTGAACTCAGACAGTTTTACTGGTTTTATGTTTCAACAAAGAAACAAAAGTTTTTGTTCATAAAAACAACTTTTGTTCAGTTATTAAAGCTCATTTTTATGAAGTAGTGCTGATGATAAGTCAGAAAGAAGACACCTGCATAATGTCTGAAAATCGACTTTCATTTCTACCCTGAATGATAGTCGATAAATGCTGTTCGCCTTAAGCACATCGATCTGAGCTATAACGGACCTGATCTTTTCTTGTCCTTTTCTTACCTGATCACATCTTATCCTTTCTAGCCCTATCTTATCTTATCCCTTTTACATTTTCTTACCTTTCCTCTTTTTTTCTTACATTTTCTTATTAAGGCCTGAGCAGCAGTTGTGAATAATCACCAAATGAATAATCGGTACTTACGTGTATCATGACCATTTTGAAATTAATGGTAATTTCTGGTGATTTTTACACGTTGTACTAAAGAACTCCTCCTGAATTAACTTCAGATTTGGTCGGTTCTATCTAAAGAGCATTATGATTATATGATCTTTATCCTTATCTTTATTTATTTATATTTTAAAAACTACTTTATTTTTGTGTGACTTTTATGCACCAATGCTCCAAGACAAATTCCTTGTACGTGTAAAAACTTACTTGGCAATAAACCCAATTCTGATTCTGATTCTAATTCCTCCTCCAAATTAAAACTAATCAAATAAAATTTTATAATCACTTGACCATCAAACCTTCACCACAGAGCCCCAAAATACCAAGAGATAAACCAGGAAGAGAGTCACAATGGGATCTGCTTGCAGTGTTCATTTTTTCTTCTCTTTTCATTTCTATTCTATTCTATTTTTAGAGTTTGTTGAGCTCCACAACAGAAGTCAGATTTATTATATTTGGGTGGAGGCAGAAAATATCTAAAACCATCAAAGTAGATGAACTGAGCCTTTAATTTAATGTTAATTTAACACCTTTATATCTCCTCAGCCGGTTTCCTCATCATGTTGACTCCGCAGAGGTTGTGTCTGTCAACCCAAAGTCCACGCGTCATCCTGGGACGCTGTGATGTCAGTAACCCCGCTCAGCAGTGGGCATGGTTGGGCGGAGCCAGGCTGATCCACAATCAGTCCTCCAGGTGTCTGTGGGCCGACCCCAGCCCCCACCTGCCACTCCACACCCGCCTTGCCAATCTCAGCAACTGCAGCAGAGCGCCGGCGTGGAGCTGCTACAACAAGCAGGGAGCGCTTGGATTGGCTGACACGCAGCTATACCTGAAGAAACTGGGAGCGCGGGTGGTGATTGGAGGAAACCTGCAGACCTCAGAGTGGAGGAAGTATGACGTCGACTCAGGAGGGAACCAGCTGATGACATCATTATGCCCACGATCAGGTCTGACAACCAGAACCACCCTAAAACTGATAGCATGCTAACACACTAAACTAAGATGATAAACATTATACCTGCTAAAGATCAGCCTCCCTCCACAGGAAGTGTTGTACAGTCAGAGACTGAGGATGACTCTACTTATACGGAATTCCCTCACATTGTTGCTGCTGTCTGTTAGTTCGCTCAGTCTGACAGGAAGAACGTCAGCAGTGTTCTTCCTGTCAGAGTCTCAGCCAACATCTCACATCTCACTCAGCACTGAGCTGCAATGTCCAAACCTCTTGAAACTACTGCTCACATACTTCTCTTTTGGCTTTCTTCACTTATTCTGGAGATTGATTCTGAACTCATCAACTACACCAAGTTGAGAATTTCAATGAGAATAACTCACAATGTCAATGCTAACATGATGATGTTTAGCACAATATTCGCCATGTGTCACCATTAGCATGTTAGCATGCTAACATGCTCACAATGTCAACTTACAACTTTATCACTGATTTTGGTCAAACGGGATCATATTTTATGGGGAAAATATGTTCTGCCTTCATTCCACTAAGTCCCAATGTAGCTGCTATTAGCATGCAACAGAACAAGGCTCGGCAGCCTCCCAGTCATCACGGCCGGACCAGGACCAAACACAGCCTCAGAGAGGGACAGAGGCAAGTTTGACGACAGTGATTTATGGAGTTTCCTGATCCTGGGGTGCCAGGAACCAAACAAAAAAAACACCTCTGTTGATCAAACTGTCATCTGTCTGCATAAGATGCTGTATTCGATTCTGGTCTGGTCGTGCTGTTCACTGGGAGCTCCCAGAGTCAGCTAATAGGACCGCTACAGCTGCTTGATGGGGGGACGTAACTGCAGGTTGAAAAATGTTGTTGTTGCCATATCAGACAATTACTTTTCTCTTTATGTTTCAGACACAACCACCATCTTTTATTCATCCACTCATAAACCACTGGGAGTCTCCAGCACCGTCTACACCCCCAGAAGTCCTGCTATGACTGTCACCAATGAACAATTATCAAATACAGTAAAAACCCACCGGACCACCAGACAAGTCACCACCTCAGAGATCCACCACTCAATAACTAATGGAGCCTCAACATATGTGAACGACATCACCAAACCTCAAACCAGGAGGTCAGAGACAATAGACTTCAGTCCTGATGTTTCAGTCACAGAGCTGTCAGCTTTAAACGGCAGCCATATTACCTCCTCGAGTCCGGCTGTGTCCACAACTGAGAGATTCACTGACATTTCAAAGATTTCGTCAGTTAAAAATATCCCTCAGCTCAGGACTGAAGCTGAGACGACAACAGCAGACCAAGAAATTTCCACCGCATCCCCCTTCTCGATTGGAAATGACCCTGAATCCACAGCCGTGTCTCTGGTTTCCTACACAGCTTCCTTAGAACCAAAGATGAGTGACACGACTGATCCCCTGGTCCTGTCTGAAGTCCAATCTGAGGTTAAGTCTGAGGTAACGTCTGAGGTAATGTCCACTGATACAGTTGGTTTATCTGCTGTTTTTTACACAGAGTTAAACCAACATACAATCTATACAACACATTCAACTACGGATGAGCAGATACTACACAATCAGACCTACCTTCCACCTGCATCCACTACAACTACACCTCCTCCTACAACTTCTCATGGGACTTCAACAGCAGATATGACTGTTCAATCCATCATGGAGACAGATCCACCATCGACCCCTCATGTCCTGCCTACGATTTCCAAAATTTCAACCACAGTTGCCTCGACAATGCCGGTGTCTACAGTTCATCCAGAAACCTCAGCCAGTGGCACGACTAAAGGTTCTCCACCAACATCTCCAACAGCTGGGGTGATGTCTACAGGAAGGATCACCAACTCAACTTCAACGGTCCCACCTACAAGTCCAACAATAACTCATGTAACCACAACCAAACCCACAACCACCCCTGTAACCACGACCGCATCCATTACAACCACAGCAACCACTGCAGTCATCTTAACCATCCCCCCTTCAACCACGACCATGACATCAACCATCAGAACCACTCCAACCACCACCACAACCAGTACATCACCACCTGCAACTACAACAACAACCAGAGCAACCACAGCTCCTCCACCGACTACGACTACACCTCAAACCACTACTTCAGGATTAACCACCACAATACCTGTAAGTATTCCTTTACATTTACAAAACTGTTCTATACCAGTTGTGAACCGTCACCTGTTCTGAAGCCTCCAGTTGGGCTTTATGGTAGTCTCCATGTTGGTGTTTAGCAGCCAGCAGCGGTGACGTACTGCAAGTTGAGCTGTTCTCATTGGCTGCTCTTGGCTTCAACTCATCCATAACAGGGAACAATGGCAGTTTGCCTGGTCACACACAATCTCGTATTCTATATAAACACCATAATATGGGACCATTATTTACTAAATGAACATCATGCTGTATGGAAGAAGACTGAAACTAGAGACATGGACCATGAACTCACCAGGAAACTGTTTATTGATAAAATAAAGTGGCTCATTTCTCCATGAGACTGAATACTGTCAGTCTTTCATTGCAGCCAATGGAGCTCCCCCTGCTGGCCATTACACAGAATGTAGGTTTAAGACACTTCACAGACCCAGAAGCTCCATCATATATACTGTCAATGATCTATACCACATATCACAGTATTTATAGCTTAAACATGTTTGCAATGCAACTTAAAAATGCCAAAAACCCAGATCCTAGCAGATCCTCACGTCTACATGACTGAGCCCTTCCTCTCTAAAATCTCTTTCTACTGGGGTTTAAAATGTCCATCCTAAACATTTATAAAAGGAAACCTTACAGCTTACCTTATTACCTTATTTTCCATCAGTTATCATAAATAGTTTCCAATTAATTTTCTGTCAATGGATTAATCACAAAGAGGTGGGAAGTAAATAAGTACAAATACTTTTGTAGTTATTTCAGGTATCACTTTTACAACAGTATCTGAGTATCTGAACTATATCTACTGCTCACATTTTCAGATCAGGCTTGTTACTTTAGTTTTAAAGCATTTGATTGGAATTATTAGTTATTATTTGTATTTGACATCATTGTAGAGCTTCCAAACATCAAGGCTGCTGTGTATCATTGCAAACGTATCATGATGAAAAAAGCTACAAAAGAAGCTTCTTGCCTTCCCGGTCCATAAGCAAGGCACTGAACCATCACCTGTTCCCCACAGACAGCATTTGTAATCTAAAGTTTTGTTTTGGAGAAAAGTCCAGGTCCTGTAGATCCAATAAGAATTTGAAGTCGCTCTTTGATCATTTGTGAACGTTTCTATTATTAGAGCCTCATTCTGGCGCTGGCTCTAAGCCTGCTTCCTGATTGGATAACTCTTATCCAACCATAACAATAGTTGTTTCTGCTCTGATTGATGGAGCTCGGTTTGATGGTAAAGGTCGTCAGAGAAAGTCCGAGGCAGGCAGGAAGGAAGCAGGGTGGGGTGGGCAGAGAGTCTCTGCCTCCGAGCACAGTGCAGTCAAAGTTTAAAGATCGATGTATCCCTCTGAGAGAAAAGAGTCCGCATGATTTGATAAATGTGAATATTGACTATGAGAAAGACATCGCCAAAATGTCTCTGATCTGTGGGAGGATCAAGGTGATGAAGACACCAGTCACCTGCTCAGACTCCATCAGCTGAACTGATGCTGCAAGCTGTGAGGCTGAGGATGTAGATGTGGACTGGAACGAGACACTTTCACACAAACTGAGCCAAACTGATGGATAATTAGATGGATACATGTTTTTATAAATTTCCATGATCGATATGTCAGCTCATGCAGGAATGTTCCACGTTTCTTTTTTACTGATTGAATGGACGGATTTAAATCCGAGGCCGCCATGTTCAGATGTTTGATACTTGCTTTGTTTTGGAGCGTGAACAAGGTAAGTTAACAGAGCTGTCTCACTTTGACAGGAATGTATACATTTTATGTGATATTTGATTTAAATGCACAATATAAAGATTCTTACCAGTAATGCAACCAGCAGCAGCAGAAACATGTGCATTACATCCTCAATCTCCTGTTCTTGGATGTGTAATTGTACGCACAGCACACACAGCAGTAATATGTAGGTATAAATATACTACCATATCAATATATTATACAAAGTATAATAGAATACGGACATAATGACAGGAGTACAGTGGTTTTCTCAGTTTGGACTCTCATTTACGGTCTGCTGTTTAGGGGTTAAAGAGGATGAGAGGACCTAACACTGATACATTGACGTCAGTGATAGTTATTGTGTGAAAAGTTTGTTGTTATGACAAAATGGTTTCACGTTATAATGAGATATTTTAACCTTATTCAGACACAGACTTGTCATGGTGGCTCAGAGGTATTGTTATAATTGGATAACTTATATTGTTATAATGGGATATCTTATATTGTTATAACGTCATAATGTATATTGTTATAACGTCATAACGTATATTGTTATAATGTCATAACGTATATTGTTATAACAGAATAACTTATATTGTTATAACATGATAACGTATATTGTTATAACAGGATAACTTATATTGTTATAACATGATAACGTATATTGTTATAACCGGATAAATGATATTGTATAACGTATGTTGTTATACTGGAATAACTTTTATTTTTAGAACAGGATAACTTAAATTGTTATAACTGTGTAACTTATATTGTTATAAGGAGATAACTTAAATTGTTATAACTGCATAACTTGAATTGTTATAACTGGATAACTTAAATTGTTATAACTGGATAACGTATATATTGTTATAAATGGATATCTTATATTGTTATAATGTGATAACTTATATTGTTGTAATGTGATAACTTACATTGTTATAACGGGTTAACTTAAATTGTTAGATTGGGATAACTTATATTGTTCTAACAGGATAACTTAAATTGTGAAATGGGATAACTTAAATTGTTCTAACAGGATAACTTAAATTGTGAAATGGGATAACTTAAATTGTTATAATGGGATAACTTATATTGTTATAACTGGATAACTTATATTATTATAACTGGATAACTTATATTGTTATAACGCGATAACTTATATAGTTGTAATGGGATAACTTCTTCTATAATTATTGTGATGTCACTTCCTGTTTCAGGTCCAGTCTACCGAGGCTTCCAGCTGCTCTGCAAACTTCACAGAAATCAGCTCCAGCTCAGATTCTGTTGTAGTGAAGTTGACCAGTGCTGGTCTGTCCTGTAACTTCACCCTGGTTACTGAAGAGAAATACAGGGCTGACTGTGACCCATATGGAGAGTCCAGAAACACCTTCGTCTGCCAGATCCTGGGTCTGGAACCTGGGACTTTGTACCATTTAACAGTGATTTCCAAGAAGGATGGAGAGAGGAGCAAAGCGTCAGTGCGCACAGGTAAGTCTCTATACCTACTACATTTATCTATAATAAATCTATAAACATATTGATTATTTAGTTATCCTTAATTCTTTGCCCCAAACTGCCCCTTTAAATACTTATAGCTTAAAATGGAAGATTATATAATATATATAGATGAGACTGTTGATCTCCAGAGGTGTTGCAGCAACACCAGGTCGGGAACAAATTAAACAAGTTAAAAATCAATAATTGACTGTCAAGCTGAATGTCTGAAAGAGACGACACAACAGAATGTTTTTAAAACTCTAAAACTACGGTTTCTTTTACATTCAGAGTGAAAACATTTGCAAGGCTGCATTTTAAGTATTACTGTATATATTGTATGTATTGTTCTTCTCAGGGGAATTACAGACACCTGTTGGTCACATAAATCATGTGACACTTTTGGTAGGAAGGTGTATTACGTTGTGTGCATCCTTGTGTCCAACTCCTAGAAAATCAAACATAGTTACTAAGGTTCAGAACTTTTATTCTGGACTCTTCCTTCTGGAACTTCTAGAAGGAGTTCAGTTATTATATGCAGCAGACTACGCAAGTCTTACTTTAAAGGTTCCAAAGGATGTGACGTTTTTTTGCTCCCGAGTGCCTTCTCTCTCCGCTTCCATACAGTGTCAACAGTGTGCAACACTAGCTAACATTAGCTTATAAATCGCCAAATAGCTTCCCCAGCTAATGTGATCCATGATACTAACTTATGTATTCTGACAAACTGTTGATTTTAGCCAACAATAAATTATGTAGCGGTACAAAGCTAATGATTAGCGATGCAAGGCTGGAGCACCCAGCTAGCTTACTGTAGCCTGAGCTATATGTGTGAGGATGGATCCTGAATATACGAGGGGCCTCTGACCCTGGTTTGGACCTGCAGCTGCGTGTTGAAATCCTCTGTATATCCTTTAGCACACAGTCAAGGCCGCAGCCTTGTCAGAGAGCCCTGATCTCTCTAACAATGGTCTTCATCCCGCCTCAAGTGTTTGTTCCCAGAAACACCAGAGCCACTTCCCTCCTCACATTGTCTCTGCAGCAGCGGATGTTTTTATTGCACACAAAGATTAGAAAACAGCAAAGAATGCCTGTACCTATATGATTACATCAGATCATATTAAAGCTACTGCAAACACTGATAAATTGATGGCACAAATATGATGTGAGAGAATAATGAAAGCTCATTAAAGTTATAGAACAGTGTCTGTATATCATGATCTGGGTGGTGTTACAGGCAGACATATTGAGCTGCCAACAGGAAGCAGTGAAGGCTCCTGTGGGAGGAAACCATTATTAAGAATGGGTCAGGGTTCAGAACTGAGTTGTGGGGGTTGTTCTCCTCGTCCTGCCCCACCCTGTGTGTTTTTTTTCTGTTTCCTGTCCGGACTCACAGCAGCTCTGTGGAAAGGTTTCATTCTTTAAGCAGCTAAAACAATTGAATCAACCTCCTCCATCAAACACAGGACGCACAGATGAGGAAGAGGAGGGACGTTCTTCAGTTCTATGGACGTTGAAATCAACACAACTTTTCTCTAAATTCAACCAATCGATGTTTCCTCCAAATACATTGATCCAAACATCACCAGACTTCTGAGATTTTAATCTCTGGAACAACTTATCTTTGACTTTCATGAATTATACAACAACAAATGTTTTGCAAAAAAGCCTAAAAGATAAAAACTTGGTCCTCAGACCTTCATCGGCTCATTCTGTCTGAACTGTTCCTGAAACATTGTCTTAATAAAGTTATATTAAATTTTTTTCAATTCAATTTTATTTGTATAGCGCCAATTCATAACAGAAGTTATCTCAGGACACTTTTCAAATAGAGCAGGTCTAGACCGAACTCTTTAAAACATTAATTACAGAGACCCAACAGTACCACCATGAGCAAGCACTTGGCGACAAGGGCAAGGAAAAACTGCCTGTTAAAAGGCAGAAACCTAGGACAGATCCTCCGGCTCTAGGTGGGTGGTCATCTGTCTCGACCAGTTGGGGTGAGAGAGAGAGAGAGAGAGAGAGAGAGAGAGAGGCGGAGAGAGAGAGAGAGAGAGAGAGAGAGACAGACAGACAGGTGCACAGCAACAACAGTATTGGCAATGGCAATCTAGCAGGACCATGGCAGGAGGCTCCACCAGGATCGACAAGAACCTGCAAGACGAGAAAGCACAAGAACTCCGGGGAAGAAGTAACATGCATTAATGAGACATGAATGAGTGCAGAAAGAGAGAGGAAGGGAGGAGCTCAGTGCACCATGGGAAATCCCCCGATAGTCTAGGCCTATAGCAGCATAACTAAGGGATGGTTCAGGACTCACTTGATCCAGCCCTAACTATAAGCTTTATCAAAGAGGAATGTCTTAAGCCTACTCTTGAATGTGGTGAGGGTGTCTGCCTCCCGAACCACAACTGGAAGCTGGTTCCACAGGAGAGGAGCTTGGTAACTGAAGGCTCTGGCTCCTGTTCTACTTTTAGAGACTATAGGAACCACAAGTAGCCCAGCATTCAGAGAACGTAGTGTTCTAGTGGGGTAATAGGGTACTATGAGCTCTTTAAGATATGAAGGGGCCTGACCATGAAGAGCTTTATAGGTGAGGAGGAGGATTTTAAATTCTATTCTACATTTTACAGGGAGCCAATGCAGAGAAGCTAGTACAGGAGAGATGTGATCTCTTTTTCTAGTTCCTGTCAGTACTCGTGCTGCAGCGTTCTGAATTAATTGGAGCGTTTTAATGGACTTATTGGGGCAACCTGATAATAAAGAGTTGCAGTAATCCAGCCTTGAAGTAACAAATGCATGGATTAGTTTTTCTGCATCTGTCTGTGATAGTATGTGTCTAATTTTTCTAATATTACGTAAATGAAAGAAGGCAGTCCTAGATGTCTGCTTTATGTGGGAGTTAAATGACAAATCCTGATCAAAGATAACTCCAAGATTCCTGACAGTGGTGCTAGAGGCCAAGTTAATGCCATCTAGAGTAACTATATCTTTAGACAGTGAGTGTCTAAGGTTTTTGGGGCCAAGAACAAGAATTTCGTTTTTTTCTGAGTTTAACATCAGAAAATTGCAGGTCATCCAGGATTTTATGTCATTAAGACATGTTTGTAATTTAGATAATTGATTAATTTCATTGGGTTTGATTGATAGATATAACTGCATATCATCTGCATAACAGTGAAAGTTAATGGAGTGATTCCTAATAATGTTGCCTAAAGGGAGCATATATAAAGTAAATAGTATTGGTCCAAGTACAGAACCTTGTGGAACTCCATGACTAACTGTAGTATTTATTGAAGATTCATTGTTAACATGTACAAACTGCGAGCGATCTGATAAATATGACTTAAACCAGCTTAGTGCGGTTCCTTTAATGCCAATTTGATGCTCAAGTCTCTGTAAAAGAATATTATGGTCAATAGTGTCAAATGCAGCACTAAGATCTAATAATACAAGTACAGAGACAAGTTCATTGTCAGAAGCAGTCAGAAGGTCATTATTAACTTAAACCAGAGCTGTCTCTGTGCTATGATGAACTCTAAATCCTGACTGAAAATCCTCAAATAAACTATTGTTATGTAGAAAGTCACACAACTCTTTGGCGACTACTTTCTCCAGAATCTTAGAGAGGAAGGGGAGGTTAGAAATCGGTCTATAGTTGGCTAAAACCCCTGGGTCAAGAGTGGGCTTTTTAAGAAGGGGTTTAATTACAGCTACTTTAAAGGACTGTGGTACATATCCTGATAATAAAGAAAGATTAATCATATCCAGTAAAGAAGTGCCAATTAAGGGAACAACTTCTTTACTTCTTTATATAAGGTGAGTTTAGGTGATGGACAGTACTGACTGTAGTAAAGTATTGACTGTACCTGAGTACTGTGTCTGTACCTGGGTACTGTGACTGTATCTGAGTACTGTGTCTGTACCTGAGTACTGTGACTGTACTGTAAACCTGTAAACGGTACTGTTATTAGGAGCATTTGGAACTCGTAATACCCTTTGTACTGTCATTATAAACAGGTGAATACTTTATATTATCACAGTCTAGACCTCTATCTGAACTCTGATCCCCTTCCTCTGTCCTTTCTCAGACCCGGTGGGTCCGGCTCTTCTGGATGTTGAGCTGGATCAAGTTCAGACTCAGTATAAGAGCCAGTCTGTGGTCCACAGCGGGTCTTCAGGTCTGCGGGTGTCCTGGTCTCGTTCTGCCGGTCACGTGGACTGGTACGATGTGACTCTGGAGGATGGCAGCTCCGGGTCCACCCGCAGAACGAGAATCATGGGCTCTGCAGCCCCCCAGTCTGGCTTCAGCTCCCTGGTCCCAGGAACCCAGTACAACGTCAGCGTGGTGGCTACAGCTGGGAACCAGACCGCTCCACCTGTCTACACCTCAGCTGCTACAGGTATGTAGTCCTCTTCACCACAACCAGACCAGGACCCCTAAATGAGGTCCTGTGTTCATGTCCCACTGTAACCATGGAAACCACCGTTTAGAGATGGGTCAAAGATAAAAGAGACATTTACACAGACACATCTTAAGTTATCTAATGTTAGCAACACACTAGCTAGTCTACAGTAATTGTTAGCTAGCTAGCTTTAATTTTGCTAACATTAGTTATCTGATGTAACTAGGTAGCTAACAAATGTTGTCGATTACCGAGATAGTTAGCTAGTGTTTTGCCAACCTTAGTTTAATAAGAACGGGCTAGGCTTTGTGTCCCTCCTGCAGCTCCATCGTCTGTCCGGGGCCTCCAAGTGGCACCCTCAGCCTCGCGTAGCCTTACCGTTTCCTGGCAGGTTGGTCCGGGCAGGATGGAAGGCTTCAGGGTTCTGCTGGTGGACCAGGATGGGGTTCTGCTGAAGAACGTCACTCTACAAAACACTGTGACCTCCGTTCAGCTGGACAGCCTGCGTCCCGGGACCCCATACACCGTCACCGTGGTAACAGAGGCTGTCGGCCTGCAGAGCTCCACCTCCAAACAAGCGGTCACAGGTAGATATAATGGGATGTTTTTAACATCACTTCTTCCAGTTCTGAAGAGGTTACAGAAGAAGATGATATTCAGTCTCCCGTTCAAACAAAGATGGCCGCCAGATGTTTTGTTTTAAGTTCTTGATGAAAATAAAGATAAATAAAATCAATAACAGATAAATAAAATCATTAACAGAACGTGTCTCATCCTCCACAGTCCCAGCAGTCGTATCAGATCTGAGGCTGGACCACAACGGCAGCTCAGACTGCCTGCAGGCCTCCTGGGTGTCCCCTGAAGGGGGTGTGGACTTTTACTCTGTCACCCTGACGGCTCTGGGGTCGACCCCCAGGAGCGCCGCCTTGCCCCCCAACATGACCCAAGTGGTCTTCGAGGGTCTGACCCCCGGTCGCAGCTACCAGCTGAGTGTCAGGACCACATCTGGAGGGCAGAGCTCAGAGACCAGGACCAGCGGACAGACAGGTATCAGACCAGGTTCCTTCAGGTTCAGTTCGAAAATATCTTTGTGGACAACCGAAGAACTACAACTCCCAGGGTGCATTTCACAAACAGACAGCCAATCACAGAACTTCATATTCTTCTGGATCAATATGATGTTTTGAATGTGTGTTTGAAGGTGCGACTCCATAGCAACAGCAGCAGAGGTTTATGGGTATTGTAATATTTAGAGACATTAACTGACAAATAAATTAATTTTAGATTATTCAAACCTAAATAGGGTTTATTACAACTCTGTTTTAGATGTTTATAGCAGTAGTCATAGTAGTATTACTGATGTACTTAAGTGTTCTACATCAACAGCTAATGTTTTGCTGGCATTAGCTAACTTGAGATGTGACTTGACTGTCTTTCAATTCAATTCAATTCAATTCAATTTTATTTGTATAGCGCCAATTCATAACAGAAGTTATCTCAGGACACTTTTCAAATAGAGCAGGTCTAGACCGAACTCTTTAACATTAATTACAGAGACCCAACAGTACCACCATGAGCAAGCACTTTCCAACACAGATAGGACATAGCATATCCATGCACAGGAAAGGAGGAAGTTGCCTGAGGTTCTGCTCAACTGTGATTGGAGCACAGAGCAGAAAGGGGAAGGGCGTGCCTCTATATGAACTACATAAACAAAGATGACCATCAGAGAGAAGACTGGATATTTCTATATAGTTATTCTTAATGTCAGATTCGTCTTAAAATCAATAAAACGAGGCAGTAGAAACACAACCACCTTTGTCCGCCAGAATCAACATACAGTGAAGGTTTCTGTAGCTTTAATTTGAGAAATATTATCATGTTTTCTGCAAAACTCTCTTTTCATTAAACAAAAGAAGCCAAAGTTGTCAAATGTTGCAAAATTATTATTTAAATCTTTCAGTACCAGAAGTCAGTTTAACTTTCAGTGATTGTTCCTGGTCTTATCCTGTTTCAGTCCCTGAGCGGGTTTCGGATCTTGTCATGTTGCCTCTCAGCAATGGCAGGACACTGAGGGTGAGCTGGTCGCCCCCCAGAGGCCAGTGGGAGAACTACAGCATCCTGCTGAGGAACAGTTCTTCGGTTCTGGTGAACCAGACCATCAGTAAAGTGAGCAGACAGCACACGTTCTCTGTCCAAAGCCTCGGGCTTGTGCCGGGGCGACTCTATGGGGCGGAGGTCACTGTTCACAGCAGCATTCTGGGTAACACGGCGCACTGCCACGGACGACTGGGTCAGTTAACATTTAAACCTTCTGTTATCTAACTCAAAGAGAAGTCCAGTGTAGGTCAGTCATAGACAGAGTTTTTTGTGTATGACTTTAATGTACAGTTATAGTTAAAATAGCTCAAAGTTATGGATAAACAGTTAAAATAATTAGTTAAAATAGCAGTCAGAATAGGTAGCTTAGCATTAAAGTAATAGACAGTTAAAGAATAGTTAGCATTAAAGTCATGGACATTATTTCTTTAAATGAAAATAAGAAAACAAAATAGAAACATTTTTTTATTATTAATAATTATCGTCCCTCTAGCACCTCGTCCCGTGCAGCGGATGGTCGTCCGTCACACTGATGAAACCACTCTGAGCATTGTGTGGAATCGACCTGTCGGCGAATGGGACGGCTTCACTGTGGTCCTCGGACAGGCGGACCCTGCCACCATCGTGGCTCAGAGGACCCTCTCCTGGGAAGCCACAGAGTGCACCTTCAACATCCTCACCCCAGGACGCCTGTACACCGTCATGGTGATGACCAACAGTGGCAACCTGTCCAGCTCTGCCTCTGTGACTGCACAGACCGGTTAGTCTGATTTATCTACACTAACATTTGTTCTACTAAAGATGGTAAAAATTATATAATTAAGATTATATTTTATGTATAATAAAATGGTCAACCAATAGAGATTATACCATAATAATATTAATAGTAAGCTAAAGAATAGTTAGCTTAGCATTAAAGTAATGGACAGTTAAAGAATAATTAGCTTAGTATTAAAGCTGCAGCGTTTGCGGACAGTCTTGCTGTGAAGCTCGGTGCAGAAACAAAGATGGAGTCAGTGGCCTCTGTGTCTGTTGTGGTTCCTCTCAGCTCCGGCTCCAGTCACCAGGCTGCAGGTCTCTAATGGGGGCAGCACCGACAGCCTGCAGGCACGATGGGAACGAGCCTCCGGAGATCTGGACTCTTACCGAGTCCTGCTGGTCCATGATAGCAGCATCATTAAGAACCAGAGCGTGGAGGCTGACACCACCAGCATCAGCTTCTTCGCCCTGAGACCCGGAGCTCTGTATCGGGTGGTGGTGACCACTGTCAGAGCTGGACAGATCTCCAGACAGACTGTCGCAGAGGGACGCACTGGTAAGATGATCTCCGTACGTTAAACATATCCATATGTTATGAGTGCGTAAAAACAGTTTGTCTAAACAGTTTGTTTAACTTCTCTGTACGTTATGAGCGCTTAATAACAGTTTGTTTAACATCTCCGTATGTTATGAGCGCGTAATAACAGTTTGTCTAAACAGTTTGTTTAACATCTCTGTACATTATGAGCGCGTAATAACAGTTTGTTTAACATCTCTGTACGTTATAGCGCGTAATCACAGTTTGTATAACATCTCCGTACATCATGAGTGCGTAATAACAGTTTGTCTAACATCTCTGTAAGTTATGAGCGCGTAATAACAGTTTGTCTAACATCTCCGTACGTTATGAGCGCGTAATAACAGTTTGTCTAACATCTCCGTACAATATGAGCGTGTAATAACAGTTTGTCTAACGTCTCCGTACGTTATGAGTGCGTAATAACAGTTTTTCTAACGTCTCCGTACGTTATGAGTGCGTAATAACAGTTTGACTGAGACATGCTGTCTGTGTGTGTGTGTGTTCATGTGTGTTTGCGCAGGACATTATTGAAAAGCAGGAATTTGTCAGGAATTTTCAGGAAATGTCGACAACAACAACAACAACAAGCTCTCAAGGTCTGTGTGTCAGTGACTTCCTGTCAGGAGGAGGAAGTGCACACTTTACTGCTGCAGGGAAATATTTTATACCTCACTGAGGACATTTAAAAGAGCAAAGAAGTACAAATTGTAGGGCTTCTATCCTACACTCATGCTACACTGTAAAAACTTAAGAAAACTAATTTGAAGGCTGCTGTCTTCACTTGAAATTTGTAAGTCAAATTCAAACTTCACTCACACATCAATACACTGAATATTGTAGGAACATTATATGGATGTAACCTTTAAAATTTGAAGCAATCTTTTACTAAACATGTCTCTAATGTCCCCTCCTGGCTCCTCCCTCAGTCCCAGCTGCAGTGGGGGAGGTGACGGTCAGTAACAACGGTCGGATGGACTTCCTCAGTGTGTCATGGCGTCCGGCTCCAGGTGAGGTGGACAGCTACTTGGTGACCCTGAGTGACCGCGACAAGACGCTCCACACAGTCTCTGTTTCTAAATCCAGCCCAGAGTGTGTCTTTAACTCTCTGGTGTCTGGACGTCTCTACAACATCTCCATCACATCCCGCAGCGGCCTCCACCAAAACCACACCTTTGTCCAGGAGAGAACACGTGAGTACACCAGCTCTCCAGAGTCAAACTTCAGTTAAAACAGTCTCACCTGAAGGTCCATTGGTAGCTGTACTGAAGAATTCAGTCATATCACATGGTCTTCATCAGCAGTAAAAATAAAAACTGTTACTACAACTTGTTGATCTGAATGATCGCTGCTGGAGATATTTTTATAGCTCTTTGTACTACACATTGCGACTATAGACCTCCGCCCAGCAGAAGAAGCTGAAGTTCGGTGAGTCGTCATTTAAAATGGAGTTTCTGAAACTGTCTACTGTACAGAGACACTTACCGATCAACCCATAGACCAATTAACTGTTTGATTTTATGTATTTATTTTATTTTAATATATATATAATAATGATAAGTAACTAAGAAGTAATCAATAAGAAGCAGATTATACACTAATCAAAACATCCCTGTGAAATTTATATTACAGTAATGTTACACACTGGAGCTTTTAGATTGGTATCCAGAGCTTCATATGAACTTGTTTGTTCATAATAATTTAACCTTTATTTTCTGTCTCAGAGCCGTCAAAAGTTCAGAACCCGACAGCAACTCACGCTGCCCGGGACGACTACCTGAAGGTTTACTGGCGTCACGCCGCCGGAGACTTCGACTTCTACCAGGTGTTCATCAAACACAACAACGTATTCCTGCAGAACAAGACAGTTCTGAAGACACAGAACGAGTGCGTGTTCAACGGCCTGGTGCCTGGCAGACTCTACACGGTGCTGGTCAGCACCTGGAGCGGGAAATACGAAACCAGCTCATCCACCCATGGCAGGACCTGTGAGTGGCTTTCATGTGTAGCATTTAGCTGCGTTCATATACAGGTATCTGTTTATAGAGATTACTCTATTGGTGAGACAAAAGACATGAAGAGACGCAACAAAAACTGCAATCCAACTGGGAATTCACCAATTAACTGGTGTCCATTTAAACCACAATGTTGACCTGATGATGACGTAAGATGAGCAGTCAGAGGATCCTCAGTTTGTGTTTGAGATCTGACCTCACCTCCTCTCCTGTCTGTCCTGCAGTGCCGGCGGCGGTCCGGTCCCTGGTTCTGGCTGGTCGGGATACCGAGGATCTGCGGGTGACGTGGTCAGCGGCTCCTGGTGACGTGGATCACTATGAGGTGCAGCTGCTCTTCAACGACATGAAGGTGTTTCCTCCCGTCACTCTGGGCAGTGGTGTTGGAGAGTGCGTGCTGACATCGCTCACACCTGGACGGCTCTATAAGATCCTGGTGTCCACCTTCAGTGGGCCCAACCAGAAGGCCCAGTTCATAGAGGGCCGAACAGGTGAGCAGATGATACTGGAGATACTAAAGTAAGTAAAACTTGTGCTCATGTGGTTCTTGCACAGGTGTAAGACTTTGTCTGTAAACAGAGTACAAACATTCAGCACATATTTGGCAAAAATATAGAAGGGAACTCTAGAGTAGGCACACTATCATGTTTTCAGATTACAGCAGTGTAGTAGAGTCATTTGCTTTAAGAGCGGTGTGGTCTCTTCCCTCCTCAGTTCCCAGTAAAGTGAAGAACATCCACGTCAGTAACAGCGGAGACAGCAGCAGTCTGAAGGTGAGCTGGACTCCCAGTCAGGGCGATGTGGACGGATACTCTGTGTTCCTGTACAGAGAGAGTAGACAGCTGGACGTCCGGCCTGTCCTCAAACACCACAACGAGGTGACGTTCGGCTCCCTGCAGCCCGGACAGACGTACAGCGTGACGGTTCAGTCTGTCAGCGGAGAGTTGCTGAACAACAACACGGCCACCGGACGCACAGGTCGGGGAGTACTACGGATATATATCATATTATAGAGACTATACTACTGTTATATATGATGTTATATTTATAAACAGGTCAGACTATACTACTGTTATATATGATATTATATAAACAGATCAGACTATACTACTGTTATATATTATATTATATTTATAAACAGGTCAGACTATACTACCCTATATATACTGTCTACTAGAACATTTGAAAAATGTAACTAGTGAACATTGTCACTGCACTAATATTTTACTGAATGTATAAATCCTTGTGTACTTGTACTGCTGTTGTACATGTATGTTACATGATCTTGTGTTTCTGTGTTCAGTGCCCTCTGCAGTGACGAGTCTCCAGGTGAAAGACCTCCACTCCACCTGCAGCTTGCAGGTGAGCTGGCAGGGCGCTCTGGGTGTGTCTGATGGATACATTCTGCAGCTTCTGGATGACAGAGGCAGCCTGGTGACAAACTCCTCTCAGCCCTCCGGACGCACCAGGTACCAGTTCGACGACCTCACCCCGGGAAAGAAGTACAGGGTCCTGGTCCAGACTACCAGTGGGGGGGTCCACAGCCTGGCCATCAGCACTGAGGCTTGGACAAGTAAGACTTCCTGTTTATAACTCAGACGGTTGTCATAATTTACAGTTTAATGTGAGTTTTTGCAGTCTGAGGTTAAATTAAAAGAGTCTCCGCCCCCTATGTTCTCTTCCTGTCAGGTCCCGCCGCAGTCACCAATCTGTCAGTCAAAGCCAACACCACCACCAGTCTGTCTTTCCACTGGTCTCCACCGGACGGAGACTTTGAGCTTTATGAGATTTTCTTATATAAAAGTGACGACTCACTGCAGGAGAGACGGCGAGGCCAATCCAGCAGTCAGCAGTGCTCCTTCCAGGGTCTCAGACCTGGAGCTCCGTACAGGATGGTGGTGGTGACCCACAGCGGGGAGCAGAGCAACCAGTCCTCCATCTGGGCCCGGACAGGTGAGGGTTGTAACACCTGGTGTGTCTGTGGAAGAAGTAACCTGCATGATACAATTCAATTCAATTTTATTTGTATGGCGCCAATTCATAACAGAAGTTATCTCAGGACACTTCAAATGGAGCAGGTTCAAACCGAACTCCTTATAATATTTACAGAGACCCAACAGTACCACCATGAGCAAGCACTTGGCAACAGGGGCAAGGAAAACTGCCTGTAAATAGGCAGAAACCTAGGACAGACCCTTTGGCTCTAGGTGGGAGGTCGTCTGCCTCGACCGGTTGGGGTGAGAGAGAGAGAGAGAGAGAGAGAGAGAGAGAGAGAGAGAGAGAGAGAGACAGACAGACAGACAGACAGACAAACAGTTGCACAGCAACAACAGTAGCAACAACTACACTAACAGTAGTAACTGATGATGATAAACATGAAGATGATGATGACGACAACAGCAACGATGGGGGATAATGAGCAGTAACAATAGTAATAATTGTAACTGTAGTAATAATAATATTAATAGTGATAATAACAATAATATCAGTGATATTAGCAATGGCAGTCAAGCAGGACCATGGCAGGAGGCTCCACCAGGATCCATGAGAACCTGCGAGACGAGAAATCACAAGAACTCCGGGGAAGAAGTGAAGTTAGTGACATGCATTAATGGGACATGAATGAGTGCAGAAAGAGAGAGATAGAGGAAGCGAGGAGCTCAGTGCACCATGGGAAATCCCCCGATAGTCTAGGCCTATAGCAGCATAACTAAGGGATGGTTCAGGACTCACCTGATCCAGCCCTAACTATTCTATTCTAAATTTTACAGGGAGCCAGTGCAGAGAAGCTAGTACAGGAGAGATGTGATCTCTTTTCCTAGTCCAGTCAGTACTCATCCTAGAGGTCTGCTTTATGTGGGAATTAAATGACATGTCCTGATCAAAGATAACTCCAAGATTCCTGACAGTAATGTCATAGTGATGTCATTATATAGAGACGAATGAAGGTAGAAGTAACAAGGGAGTGTTGAGGCCACTGTTAGCAAAGAGAAAAACAATTTTTATTTAGAGAAAAAGATTTTTAAAAAATTGGCAAAAAAATAGTTTTTGACAAAAACGTTTTTTGATTAAGCGAAATCATTACATGTCCACAAAAAATTATTTTATTAATAATAAATTCATATTGCAATATTTTGACAAAAACAAATTTAATGTTCAAAAAAAAGTTTGTGATTTGTTGAGAAAAGTATTGGTTATATGATATATAGAATATTCAATAATAAAGTCATAATATTTCAAGGAATTATACTTTAAGTTTTTTACTTTTTAAAACAAAAGTCTGAATCTTTTGACAATGTTTTCCCCAACAGTTCCTTTAAAGTCAAGATGGTGGCGAAGAAAACAAACGTGTGACTTTATTGATGTGGTTCTGTGTCTGATTGTAGTGGATCAAACATTTCTTGTGTTTGAATGTGCAGAAGCTCTCTGTACGTTCGTTTCTGTTCCATTAACTCACTGTCAAGTTCACAGTTTGTCGCAATATTTCTTTTGTATGATATATTTATAAAGTTGGTTTTTTTTGGCCTTTTATTGACTTAATTCGATAGTGACAGCCGAAGATAGACAGGAAAGGGGGGCAGAGAGAGGGGATGACAAGCAGCAAAGGGCCGCAAGTCGGATTCTATATATTTATATAGTTTGGACTGACAGGTTCAGGCTCCGATAAAAACCTCAGTCCTGGTCTCGTCTGCAGTCCCAGCAGCTGTGGTGGGTCTGAGGGCTCACAGTGCGAACAGGTCTGACACCCTGAGGTTGACCTGGAGTCGGGGCGGCAGTGATCTGAGTGGGTACCTGCTGACTCTCTACAAACCTGACGGTGCCCTGTGGGCCGAGCAGCAGCTGGGGTCGGATGTCACCGAGTTTGTGTTCTCGGGCCTGGTGCCGGGTCGACTGTACCGAGCCGAGGTTCTGAGTCTGAGCGGAGATCTGAGCAACAGAGCCGGAACACTTGGTCGGACTGGTGAGACACAGCAGTAATAATAACAATATTATAACATACAGTGCCCCCTGCTGGTCAGAGTGGAAATATCATTATAATGATAAAATCTGTTCTGTCGATGAAATATTAGAATTTATTATTACTAAGTCAAATATTAACAATATCAACAACAAACAAATCAATAAATCCAATCCCCAGTCCCTTCAGGATGTCCAAGGCTTTTTTAGGAGTGAACACTGCAACAAAAAAATTGTGATGCATATTGCATCACAATATGTCGCAAATTATAGTAGTATAATAGAATTCATTAACAATCGAAGGTAAACAGTGAGATAAAATTGCTCTGTTTGGAGGATTCACTCATCAATCTACAATGACTGGATACAGAGATTTGACTGATTTCCACAATAAATCCACAAACATGAAGCAGAACAATCATTTAAAAAGGTCACATGATGTTTCCACTGTGTGCCAGCAGGGGGCGCTGCAGCCGCCTGACTTCTGTTTCAACTGTTGACTTTTTCTTCTTCAGCTCCCAGACCTGCAACCTCCTTCCTGTTCGGTGGGGTCACCAACACCTCAGTGGAGATCACCTGGAGCGGCCCTGTGGGTTCCGACTACGACGACTTCGACCTGCAGTGGACTCCCGGAGACCGGCTGTCCGTCATCAACCCGTACCACAGTCGCTCCGCTTGCAGCCGCATCCTGAGGGGGCTATTCCCCGGACGACTCTACACCTTCAGCCTCCGCACTGTCAGTGGGGCCACTGGGCCCGGGGCCACATCCACCTACAGCACACCCATCCACAACAGCATCCGAACCAGTAGGTGGCAGCACTTTTCTTTTGTAGTTTAGTGCTCATAAATAGGAACGGAGAGTTTACATAAGGAGTTCTTTCAACTTTCTGTTGTTATTTCTAAGTCATTAAACTGTAGTTAACAGCGCCACCAGTGGTCGTTCATTAAACTGTAGTTAACAGGGCCACCAGTGGCCGTTCATTAAACTGTAGTTAACAGCGCCACCAGTGGTCGTTCATTAAACTGTAGCTAACGGCGCCACCAGTGGTCGTTCATTGAACTGTAGCTAACAGCGCCACCAGTGGTCGTTCATTAAACTGTAGTTAACAGCGCCACCAGTGGTCGTTCATTAAACTGTAGCTAACAGCGCCACCAGTGGTCGTTCATTAAACTGTAACTAACAGCGCCACCAGTGGTCGTTCATTAAACTGTAGTTAACAGCGCCACCAGTGGTCGTTCATTAAACTGTAGCTAACAGCGCCACCAGTGGTCATTCATTAAACTGTAGCTAACAGCGCCTCCAGTGGTCATTCAGTGAACTGCAGTCAGCGTCCTGTTGCATCATCCTGGACATCGGCCAACAGTGACAAACACTGAACGCTGTAAAATAACTGACAATCATATTTAGAATAACGTTACTATCTGCAATGTTCCTGTATTTTATTTGGACCATTAGCTCAATGCTACTAACTAGCTCGCCATTTACAAATCAGCCCATCAGCCAACCCCACGAAGCAACCAACGACAGACCCACACCGCAGTAATGTTAGCTTTGACTTTGAGCTTTGTGTTGGACTCTGTGTTGTGGTGGGTGTCAGTCGTTTGTAGACTTTAGCGGACTCCACAGGCAGCAGAGGAACAAAGCTACCCTACAACCCGTTCACTCTCTGCTGATTAATAATCTGATTATTATAGAGACAGAACAGAATTCACAGTCGGACATCTGGAAGCTTGTTGATTTAAATTACCTCGGTATAATAAACTGTACATATAGTATATATATATACTGTATATGTATATTAATACTACAGTGATACTGAGAGTCCTGTGTTGTTGTGTCTCGCTTTAGAACCGGAGCGAGTCCACAGCCTCCACTGTCGTCCTCAGAGCTCCACCTCCATCTCCTGCTCCTGGGTTCCCCCGGAGGCCGACTACGATTCCTACACCATCGAGTGTCTCCACCAGGACTCCAGGGTCCTGGTTTACTCCAGACGTACCGGCAGGGACTCTACCGCCTACCTCATCACCCAGCTGGAGCCCCACAAACGCTACACAGTCTCTGTGAAGGTCATCTCGGACCGGACCACCAGTGAGGAGGCCCAGGACAGTGTGGTCACCATGATCGACCGTAAGCTTCTGGTTCAGGCTCACACAGGGTTCTTAAGATTGTGGTTTTATTGGTACTACTGGAACTGACAGGGTTAGGGTTAGGGTTAACCCTAACTAAAACAGACTCTCATCCTGATCCCTCCAGGTCCGCCAGTGCCGCCCCTCAGTACCCGTGTCAGTGACAGATCCACTGTGGTCACCAAGTCCTCCATCTCGTTCAGGTTCAACTGTAGCTGGTTCAGTGACATCAACGGAGCCATCAGGTTCTTCACTGTGGTAGTGACCGAGTCCGAAGGTACTGATACTACAAAGTACTACAGCACAGTACTACTCTTACTCATGCTCATATTCGTACTCATACTGGTATTAGTACTCACATACACACTCATATAGATACTTATATTACTACTGATATTTGTATTTATACTGGTCCATATTTGTACTCTGATATGTGGAGGTTCTGACGACGCTCAGCCGGAGCAGCAGGACCCTCTGCCCTCCTACGTGGACTACAAGTCCAACAGCTCCATTAACTCCTATCAGACCAGTTACTTCCCCAGTCTCTGCACCGAGGGCCCCGACAGTGCCCATAGCTATGAGCTGAGTGTGGGGACGGGGATGGACTCACTGGGAGGCCCCTGTGACCGCAGAGTTCTGGATCCAGACACCGACAGCAGAAACCTGAGCCGGTTCTGTGACGGACCACTGAAACCCAAAACTGCCTATAGGTACAACAACAAGTATTATTACTGCATTCTTCTTCTGTATTGTACCATCATTAACACTGTGTGTGTCTGCAGGCTCAGTGTGCGAGCGTTCACTCAGCTGTTTGACGAAGACAATAACGACTTCACCGTCAGCTCTCCTCTGTTCACTGACACCTTCATGTCGCTGCCTGTGGTCACCGAGGCCGGTGAGCACAACACATAGGCTACTGCCCACTCCTAAGAGCCTTCTCTCTCCGCTTCCCTACAGTGCCAACAGTGTGCAACACTAGCTAACGTTAGCTTATAAATGGAGTCCGCTAACGTCAACAAACGACCAACACCCACCACAACACAGAGTCCAACACAGAGTCCAACACAGAGTCCACAACACAGAGTCCACAACACAGAGTCCACAACACAGAGTCCAACATAGAGTCCACAACACAGAGTCCACAACACAGAGTCCAACACAGAGTCCACAACACAGAGTCCAACACAGAGTCCACAACACAGAGTCCAACACAGAGTCCACAACACAGAGTCCAACACAGAGTCCAACACAGAGTCCACAACACAGAGTCCATAACACAGAGTCCAACACAGAGGCCACAACACAGAGTCCAACACAAAGTCCAAAGTCAAAGCTAACATTATTGCAAAGCTTGTGGAACATATTGTCTGATTGTGCTTTTAGCTGGATAATGTTAGCTTGATTGCTAATGCAGACATATTGCTAGCTAGCTAAATAAATAAAATAAATAAAAAATACTGTCAGCTAGCTCCATCGAGACTCTGGCTGCCTCGTCATTGGCAGGCTGGTATTGCAGGGCGGCTGGTGCCAGATAATGTTATTCAGTTAGCTTCCCCAGCTAAGTGATCCATGATACTATCTTATATTCTGACAAACAGTATTGATTGATGTAACAGTACAAAGCTAACGGTGAGCGAGTCAGGGTCATCCAGCAAGCTAACTGTAGCTAAGCTAAGCTGACGGTGGTTGTTTCTCCTGCAGAGCCTCTGAGCGGTGTGATCGAAGGAATCAGTGCCGGGATGTTCCTCATTGTGATGATGGTGGCAGTCACCACTCTGCTCGTGTGCAGACAGAAGGCTCGTAAAGTGTGAGTGTCTGCAGTGTCTGTACCAAAATGAAAGAAATCATCAGTCCAATCACAGCTTGGGGGCGGGGCTACACAACAGTAGAGTCTGCAGCCGCATACACTAAGCTCCGCCCCCATGCTCAATTCAATTCAATTCAATTTTATTTGTATAGCGCCAATTCATAACAGAAGTTATCTCAGGACACTTTTCAAATAGAGCAGGTCTAGACCGAACTCTTTATAACATTATTTACAGAGACCCAACAGTACCACCATGAGCAAGACCTTGGAGACAAGGGCAAGGAAACACTGCCTGTTAAAAGGCAGAAACCTAGGACAGATCCTTCGGCTCTAGGTGGGTGGTCGTCTGCCTCGACCAGTTGGAGTGAGAGAGAGAGAGAGAGAGAGAGAGAGAGACACAGACAGATAGACAGACAGACAGGTGCACAGCAACAACAGGTTGTCATTGGTTGCCATCTGCTGGACACTGAACATAAAACACCTCCTATTTAAACATGTAATGAGACTGTAATTGGACAGTAGTGCAGGTAAATAATGGTAAAGGTAATCAATAACAGCTAATAACTGCTGTGTGTTTCAGTGTGGAGGAGAGAGCTACAGTCAGAATGAGTGTGAGGGGAGAGAGACCCACATCAGGAATTCACCTGGGGGTCAGAGGGTAAGAACATATTACTGAATACTTCTATTAGTATTGTTGGTACTATTACTATTATTACTACTGAATACTACTGAATACTACTGAATGCTACTGAATATTAATGAATATTACTGAATATTACTGAATACTACTGAATATTAATGAATATTACTGAATACTACTGAATATTAATGAATATTAATGAATACTACTGAATACTTCTGAATATTAATGAATATTAATGAATACTACTGAATACTACTGAATATTAATGAATATTACTGAATATTACTGAATACTACTGAATATTAATGAATATTACTGAATACTGAATATTAATGGTTATTAATGAATATTAATGAATATGAATGAATACTACTGAATATGACTGAATATTAATGAATATTAATGAATATTACTGAATACTACTAATACGAATACATATACAATACAAGTAAGTATAACTAAGATGAATACAAATACTTTACAGCTGATTATTGATCAGTTTGGATCGATTGGCATTAATGACATCATGATGACATCAGGCCAAGGTGTGTTTGTTTTCTCTGTCACTAACTTGTGTCCTTCCTTCTGTCTCTCAGTAACCGTCGGATCTCAAGGTGAGTTTTCAGGTTGTTTATTGTTATTTAACTTCCTGTTTGTTTTCAGGTTGTTTATTGTTTTTTAACTTTCTGTATGTTTTCAGGTTGTTTATTGTTATTTAACTTCCTGTTTGTGTCCTTCAGTCCCATCAAGATCCAGAACTTTGAGAGCCACTACAGCAAACTGCAGGCCGACTCCAACTACCTGCTGTCAGCAGAGTACGAGGACCTAAAGGACGTGGGTCGGAATCAGCCTTTGGACTCGGCTCTGCTGCCGGAGAACCGCGGCAAGAACCGATACAACAACATCCTGCCCTGTGAGTGACAAGCTCACATTCAGAGAAGAAGAAAAGTGAACTTCCTGTTTGTTAATGAATCTGGTTTCTGTGTTCAGACGACTCCACCAGGGTTAAGCTGTCTTACGTAGACGACGATCCGTGCTCCGACTACATCAACGCCAGCTACATCCCTGTGAGACCCACACCCAGGCCTTTGTCCCTCTTATACCATTAGTCTATTTCCCCACTGAGGACCAAAACTGTTGAGTACAGAGTTTAATGTTAGGAATGTTAGGAATGTAGATATTTCTAGTTCTCTCCACTCAGAAAAGTCGACATGTTTCCTGTAAACGATGTGTAACAGGCGGTTCGTACAGACGCAGCAGGAGCTCTGTCGTATGCTGGACTCAGCTTTGATGTTCCTCCTGTCTGTTTTCAGGGGAATAACTTCCGTCGGGAGTATATCGCCACGCAGGGTCCTCTGCCAGGAACTAAAGATGATTTCTGGAAGATGGTTTGGGAGCAGAATGTCCACAATATCGTGATGGTGACTCAGTGTGTGGAGAAAGGCAGGGTGAGTAAATTAAACACCAGGTGTAGTCGGGGTGAGGGCTGCTGACTGTACCTGTGTATAACTGTAAAAACAGAAATATACATTCAGTGTGTTCGTCTGCTCCAGTTTTATGACTTTGTGAACTACGTAGATTTCACATAAACAGACGTAGTTCAGTTTATCTGACAGAGTGACAGATAGATGATCTGTGATTCCCTTTCAGTGGATAAAACATGATAAACAGTCCTCTCCAGAGTTCCCTTTCAGTGGATAAAACATGATTTCTCCTCCTCTCCTCTGATTCCTCCTTCTCTTCTTCCTCCTGCTCCAGGTGAAGTGTGACCACTACTGGCCCTTCGATCAGGATCCACTGTACTACGGAGACCTGATTGTCCAGATGTTGTCAGAGTCTGTTCTACCTGAGTGGACCATACGGGAGTTCAACATCTGCAGCGTAATCATCATTATCATATTATTACTTACTCTTATTATTATTATTATTGTTGTTGTTGTTGTTATTATTATGACAGATGTGATTAACTCTGATGTGTTGGCTCCGTCTATCAGGAGGAGCAGCTCAGCTTCACTCGGCTGGTTCGTCAGTTTCATTACACGGTCTGGCCAGATCATGGAGTCCCAGAAACCACTCAGTCCCTCATCCAGTTCGTCCGGACCGTGCGGGACTACGTCAACAGAAGCCCTGGATCTGGACCCACTGTGGTCCACTGCAGGTACATAACAAGGACACATCATTAAAAAGTTATTTTTCTTCAAACTGAATCCACTTGTTAGAGTGGAGTAGTCTCTGGTCCTTAAATTCAGCTTTTTTTGACTGGAGTTTGGTGTGTGTGTCAGTGCTGGTGTGGGTCGTACAGGAACCTTCATCGTTCTGGATCGAGTGCTACAGCAGTTGGACACCAAAGACACGCTGGACGTCTACGGCTCCGTGTTTGACCTCCGACTACACCGATCGCACATGGTGCAGACTGAGGTACTCCTCCTCCCTCCTCTCTCCTCCTCCCTGCTCTCTCCTCCTCCCTCCTTACTCCTCCTCTCTCCTCCTCAGTGTCAATATGCGTACCTCCACCAGTGTGTCCGTGATGTTTTGAGAGCCAGGAAGCTCCGCAGTGAGCAGGAGCACCTCCTCTGTCCCGTCTATGAGAATGTGAACTACTCCTCTCCGCGTGGTGAGTGACCATCAGCCTGCAGCTCGCTCACATTAGAAAGAACCAATAATCAAACGTATTGATCCTCCCTCCACAGAGACGCTGTGCACCAGACGTTAAAGATTGTATTGACCACTGATCGATAAGATGAGTACTTCAGAGAAACAGCAGTTATTTTATTTTTCTACAATATCATTATTTATGTAACATTGATGTTAACTGTACATATACTTAATCATATCTGTGTGTTTGTACATATTTAATAATCAATAACTGTTTCCTGTGATAGAGACACTGACGATATCATTTAGCTTTCACTGCTTTAATAATATAAAGACAGTAACAATATATTAAACCCTCAGTACCGTCTGCAGGCTGCCTTAAAGACATTTTACTGAGTAGATTAACTTGAAAGGAGGCGTCTGTTATTAATGTGGGTGCAGTTATCAAATAATCAATAAATCAATAATCAGTCCAGCTCATAATGAACAGAAGAAACCCCTGAAAACAACAAACAATAAGAAAAACTTCTATTCTCATCTATTTATTAAAGCTTCCCTATGTAAGGTTTATTAAACTGTAGCTAACAGCGCCACCAGTGGCCGTTCATTAAACTGTAGCTAACAGCGCCACCAGTGGTCGTTCATTAAACTGTAGCTAACAGCGCCACCAGTGGTCGTTCAGTGAACTGCATCCAGGGCGTCGGCCAACAGAGACAAACACTGAACGCTGTAAAATAACTGACAATCATATTTAGAATAACGTTACTATCTGTAATGTTCCTATATTTTATTTGGACCGTTAGCTCCATGCTAATAACTAGCTCGCTGTTTACAAATCAGCCATCAGCCAACACCACGAAGCAACCAACACCAGACCCACAATGCAACGCCAAGATACAGCCAGCTGGACAACCCCAGTTAGCTTAGCTACAGTTAGCTAGCTGGATGCCCCTCCCTCACATCGCTCTCGGCTAGTAGCAAGCTATCGTTAGCTTTGTAGTGTAATTTATTGTTGGCTATAATCAACACCGTTTGTCAGAATATATAAGTTAGCATCATGGATCACGTATTTCGCTACCAATAACATTAGCGAGTGAGCAACCCAGCCACTCTAAATCAACAAACAAGCTAACGTTATCCAGCTTAAAGCACAATCAGACAATATGTTCCACTAGCTTAGCAGTAATGTTAGCTTTGACTTTGGACTCTGTGTTGGACTCTGTGTTGGACTCTGTGTTGTGGACTCTGTGTTGTGGACTCTGTGTTGGACTCTGTGTTGGACTCTGTGTTGTGGACTCTGTGTTGTGGACTCTGTGTTGGACTCTGTGTTGTGGACTCTGTGTTGGACTCTGTGTTGTGGACTCTGTGTTGTGGACCCTGTGTTGGACTCTGTGTTGGACTCTGTGTTGTGGACTCTGTGTTGTGGACTCTGTGTTGGACTCTGTGTTGTGGACTCTGTGTTGGACTCTGTGTTGTGGACTCTGTGTTGTGGACTCTGTGTTGTGGACTCTGTGTTGGACTCTGTGTTGGACTCTGTGTTGTGGACTCTGTGTTGTGGACTCTGTGTTGTGGACTCTGTGTTGGACTCTGTGTTGGACTCTGTGTTGTAGACTCTGTGTTGTGGACTCTGTGTTGTGGACTCTGTGTTGGACTCTGTGTTGTGGACTCTGTGTTGTGGACTCTGTTGGACTCTGTGTTGGACTATGTGTTGGACTCTGTGTTTGGTTGGACTCTGTGTTGTGGACTCTGTGTTGTGG